GGAGTCTCCACCCCAAGAGATATACGCCCTTTGCCTTTTGAAGTGTCGAGCATTCCTTCCGCTTTTCGGGCATTTGTTCTTGATGTGCCCGGCTTCTCCACATCCATAGCACACAGGGCCATCCTCAACCTTTTCTTTCTTTCTTAGAAGTTTGCAGAACTTCTTCATGACAAGCTTGACTTCATCATCGTCACTTGAATCATCCATCGTTGATTCTTTGACGGCTTTTAGTGCTATCCCTTTCCTTTGGTCATTCAAAGACGGATTAAGAATAGTCGATTCATAGGTTTTTAGATTACCTCTTAGGCCATGGATGGTGACATTTGATGTGCCGATTGATTCATAGATGGCATCGGCATTGGATCGCCATTCGGATGTCAAGCTCCGTAGGATCTTTCGCACAAGATCCCTGTCGGTGTACGTCTTCTTTAATGCATGAACATCGTTGACTATCTTGGAGAAACGGTCGAACATATCGTCAATCTTCTCGTGCTCCTTCATCCTGAACATCTCGTACTCCTGCGTTAGGAAGTCAATTTTGGCTTCCTGAACCTGGTCCGTACCTTCATATGTGACTTCCAGCTTGTCCCACATTTCTTTTGTCGTTGTGCAGCAAGAGATCTTGCGATAATCATCAGGATTGACCGCACAGTACAGCATGTTGATTGCCTTGGCGCAGTTCTCCACTTTTTTGATGTCTTCGGCATCAAATTCGTCTTCGGTCTTTGGGATGAGTTTTTCATCGACCTTCTTCATTGACGTTTCTTCGCCGTTTTTGATGACCAACCACAACTGGAACTTGGTTGAGCGGATATAAATCCTCATCCGCTCTTTCCAATATGTGTAGTTGGTGCCATCAAAAAGCGGGTGCCTAGAGGTTGATTGACCCTCTCCAATTTCTGCTTAAAGATTTCTAGAAGAAGAACCCATGATCTCTTTACTCTCAAACGGTTAAGTTTAGACGCGAGTTAGGCTCTAATACCAATTGTTAGAATAAGTGACCAACGCTAGAGGGGGGGTGAATAGCGTTTGATCGTAGAAATCACAGGAATAAAAAATGAAGAACGTGAAAGATAAAGAGCATAGAAAGCGTAAAGGGAGCAAACCAAGATTTACCCTGGTTCACCACAACTTGTGGCTAATCCAAGCTCCTGAGAGACTCTCTCGAGCTACACTAATTCCGTTAAGCTTACGGGTGCTTAACAAACCGTTACTGTAACGCCCCGAAATCTGGCCCAAAAGAATTAATTAAATTGTTAGAGCAATTGATTACGAATTGGGCCCAAAAAGGGGTTAAAACTATAATTTGGATTCTAAGCCCAACTTTTATGTCATCTCGTAGGAAATATTTTTGTGATCGCGTCGGTTCAGACGGCTCGTGAATCGGAGTTTTGGAGCTCATGTTATGACCATTTAATCAGGTATTTTGGGTCCGAAGCCCAATCCTTTTAGGAATGGGATCAATAAATAAAACCTAAACCTATCTTCTTCCGTTCGGATCTGAGAACCGCACATCGTCACTTTCTTCTTCTTCATTTCAGATCGCCACCCGAGCCAGTCGCCGTTCATCGCTGGTCGCCCTTCCCCAGCCAGTCGCCGCTGCTTCTCCTTCGCTAGAGGTCCGTCGTCAGCATCAGCGCCGCCGACGACGGTTCACCTCGTCGTGTTGCCGTTCGTCGCCTGCACTGCCCGCGTCGGTCGTCCAGCGCCGTCGGGTTACAGCGCCGCCACGCCGAACGCTGGACGTCGCCTCCACTACCGGCGTCTTCCCTCGCCGTCGAGTTGCAGCGCCGCCAGTTGCTGCTCATCGCCGTCGAGTTGCAGCGCCGCCACGCCGAACGCTGGACGTCGCCTCCACTACCGGCGTCTTCCCTCGCCGTCGAGTTGCAGCGCCGCCAGTCGCTGCTCATCGCCGTCGAGTTGCAGCGCCGCCACTGTACGCCGTCGAGTTGCCGCTCCGCCACAGTCGCCGGCGTCCGTCACCGTCGCCGCATCCAGCCGCTGCCCGGGTTGATATCGCCGGTAGATTAATCTCCACGCCGGATTGATTGGTCGATTTCGTGTTTTGACTCAATTTGACCCGTTGTTCGTTGGATTTCGTTGATTTGTCTTCCGTTCGAGCTATCGATTCGATTTCTGCGTAATCCAGGTCCGTACTATGAAGTTAATAGCGTTTAGAATAGATTTAATGGTTTGGATCGTTATATATGTTTATGCTATAATTTGGCTAAATTGGTTAATTGAATTAAATTGATTACTTGAATTGAATTGTTGAGGATTATGGATTGACTGAGCAGGTTTGACTTTGACTTGGGTTGGGTCACGTTTGACTTAGGCTTTGACTGGATATTCTGTTGACGTAGGTTTGACCGAATGGTTAAATCCAAGACTTTAATGAATTAGTTAAGTTAATTAATTAATTCTAATCAGTAATTAAGAAGAATTGGTTTATTATGTCGAGCATAGAAATTGGCCATTGCTCGGGCGGCTGCAGGGCCTGGTCAGTGAGGTTAAGACGTGCGCACGAGGGTCTGTGATCTTGGGTTTGAGGCTATCGCCCGAGGGATCCTACCTCCACCGAATTGAGGCTATCTTCGGTATTACGGATTGAGGCTATCTCCGTCATAGGCAATAAATGTTAAGTGGTTTGACTTTCGTGAAAGTCTAAATTGGGTTGACCGGTGGTCAAAGAGTTAATGAGGAACCCTTAACACCTAAATCGTTTTGAAAAGAAAGAAAGTAAGTTGACTGTTGGTCAACCGTCTAAAGAACCGAATTTAAAGTTGAATTGATTTTTATCAAAAGGATAAACATATGCACGATCTTAATTGTTGAATTATTATGTTTATTCTTGTGCTACAATGAAGTGGCACTCAGCGTCAATGCTGAGCGGATAGCGTTGTTTTCCTTTTTGCTGTCCGTAGGTGATCAGACAGATGAACCTAGAGCCGATCCCATAGGGCATTGAGGAGGAGATGTACGATGGCGTGGCTGTCTCTTTAATCTGTAGTTATGCTTTATTTAATTAACTTTAATGCTTATTATGTTTTCGGGCAAGATCCCAAGTTGTTTGACTTTAAAAAGGCTTCTGCTTTATTTTAAATTACTCCGATGGATTTTTATATGTATTGATAGAATGTTTGTTTTAAATTGTTTTGAAAATGTTGTATATTCGGATACCAATCCAGTGGCACACCGGTCCGCGGTCTCACGGGTTTGGGTTACGCGGGTTGGGGTGTTACATTTTGGTATCGGAGCATTTGGTTTTAAAATCGGTCTTTGGACCCTTTCAAAATAAAATACAATGAACAATTCAGCCGCATCTGCATCTCACGTAACTCCTCTGCCCCGGGAAGGTAATAAGTATTTATAGCTTTATCTGTTATATGTTAAGGTCTGACTTGGGAATTTCCTTATTATTTTAGAATGAGTCAAGAATCGACCCATGGTCAGTACGTTCCGGAGCCGGAGCACGTGAGCGTGCACACGGTGAACACCGAGGGTTCGAGTTTCATGCCTCCGAGTGACGGAGGGCAGCAACAGAATCAACCTGAGCCAGCGGGACAGCCACCAGCTGTACCACCGCCAGTCGTACCACCTCTAGTGATGCCACCGTTGGCGATACCGCAGGTGGCCTACGAGCAGATGTTCCCGGCCATGATGGCCCATTATATGCAGCACATGGCGCAGCTTATGCCCATGTTCCAGCCGCCACCACCGCAGCCGCAGCCGCGCATCGTTACCTTCAAGACATTGAAGGATAATGGAGCGGAAGAGTTTCGAGGAGACAAGATGGGGGAGCCCCAGATTGCGTTGGATTGGCTTGAGCAGATGGACCGGGTACTCAAGAATTTGAGAGTCCCTGATGCTGATCGCTCGGAGTTGGCGTCACAGATGTTCTGGAAGGGAGCATATGATTGGTGGAAGCGCATTGACCAAGATCAACACACGCCCAAGCCTTGGACCAGGGATCGCTTTGATCGAGCTTTCACGAAGGAGTACGTCCCCATCCGGTACCGCGACGAGAGGCGCGATGAGTTCGTTGCGCTTAAGGAGGAGGGGATGTCACTGCCTGAACTGAGACAGATGTTTGACTACCTGTCCCAGTATGCGACGAGTCTGGTCTCCACTCCGGAGGATCGTTTGAATGAGTTCGCCAAGAAGCTACGGCCGGACTTGAGGCCGTACGCCGCGCTGATCACGACGACAGATTTTAATGCGGCGTATGATTTGATTGTGAAGACGGCGAAGAGCTTGGACGATTTGCAGGCGACCAAGAAGGAGGATCGAGCGACGAAAGACCCGCGACCCGCGGCCAGCACCGGGCCGAGCGGGAAGAGTTTTGAATTCGGGGGAAAGAGGCACGAGAAGGGTTCTTCGAGTGCGCCGCCGCCTAAGAGGAGTAAGTCGAAGCCGTCTCTGTCGGCCGCCGCTAGCAACGCGATCAGAACGAGGAGCCACCCGCAGTGTGTACAGTGTGGTAGGCATCACCCGGGCGATTGTTGGCTCGCCCAAGGCTTATGTTTGGGTTGTGGCCAGCCAGGGCATTTCAGGAGGCATTGCCCGACAAACCCTAGCAGCGAGCCTGTTTTTCCTAGAGCTCCGGATCAGCCTGCCACATCGCATCCAGCACGGAGTCAGCAGTCTACAACCGCAAATAATCAGCAGAGACCACGTCCGCAGCAGTCAGGCCGTGCACCAGCGCGTACCTACGCCATGCAGGGGCGCACAGATCCTAGTCCCGATGTTATCTTGGGTACGTTCATACTATTTGATTCGGTTATGCATGCCTTGATCGATCCGGGTTCCACGCTCTCCTATATCTGTGTTGGCATGCCTGTTAATTCTGCGATCGTGAGGAGTGACCTTGAGATACCTACCGTTGTATCGAATCCGCTAGGACATAGCATGCATCTTCATCACATCTATCATAGGTGTCCGTTGTCCGTGCAAGGGAAGCAATTCCCTGCATATTTGATAGAGCTACCACACAAGGAGTTTGACATTATCCTTGGTATGGATTGGCTCACCGAGCATAGAGCAGTGGTCGACTGCAGTTGTCGGACCGTACGGCTGAGAGCCGAGGACGGTAGCGACGTATCACTCTCCGGGGAGGTGTTCCCCAAGGCTCCCGAGTTCATATCGTCCTTGAGTGCGAGGCGCTTGATTCACAAGAAGTGCGAGATGTTCTTGTGTCACGTTCAGGATATGCAAAAAGAATCACCACGTGAGCAGGACATTCGTACGGTTTGCGACTTCCCCGATGTCTTTCCCGAAGACCTTCCTGGTTTGCCTCCGCCGAGAGAGGTAGAGTTCTCGATCAATCTCATTCCGGGTACGGAACCCATATCTGCTACACCGTATCGTATAGCACCTGCCGAGATGAAAGAGTTGAAGGCTCAGTTGCAAGAGCTGCTGGAAAAGGGATTCATCCGACCTAGCGTTTCCCCATGGGGAGCACCGGTGTTATTTGTTCGAAAGAAGGATGGATCCATGAGACTTTGCATCGACTACAGGCAGTTGAACAAAGCCACAGTGAAGAATCGTTATCCGTTGCCTCGCATCGACGACCTGTTCGACCAGCTTAGAGGGGCTACAGTATTCTCGAAGATTGATCTGCGTCCTGGATACCATCAGATTCCCGTTAAGAGAGAAGACATTCCGAAGACTGCTTTTAGGACACGTTATGGGCATTATGAGTTCTCAGTCATGCCTTTCGAATTGAAGAAACAAGATGTATCAGGATTTGAAGAAATCCTATTGGTGGCCAGCTATGAAAAAGGAAATCTCCGAGTTCACTGCGCGCTGTTTGACTTGTCAGCAAGTCAAGGCTGAGCACCAGGTTCCGACAGCGTTGCTGCACCCTCCTACCATTCTGGAATGGAAGTGGGAAAGGATCACTATGGACTTTGTGATCGGATTGCCCCGATCTTCACGAAAGAATGACGCCATCTGGGTCATTGTTGACAGGTTGACAAAATCCGCTCATTTTCTACCCGTCAGACGTGACTCCTCCATGGACAAATTGGCAGACTTATACGTTAGAGAGATAGTTCGGTTGCACGGTGCACCGCTGTCAATCATATCTGATAGAGATCCCCGGTTCACTTCGATGTTCTAGAGAGGACTTCAGAAGGCTTTTGGCACAGCTTTGAACCTTAGTACGGCATTTCTGTTGTATTTAGGTGCCCTAGCGGCAATCAAATACCTATGTAACTGTACACTTTATCATGAATAAAAGGCCTTGAAGTATGTTTTATATCTCGTGTAACATAACATAGCTTCAGTCCATAGACGATAGCGCTTCAGTAACATAGATGAGGACTACGATGTTCTGATTATGAGACTGTTACTTCTTGACGAAGGCTATGTCTAGAATATCCCTAGTCGCACTTTATGATAATACGGACGTCATAACGTATCAAGACTAGTACGTACGAGATGAGATAGTTGCGTCTCATAGACTATAGGTATTGTGATAT